TATTTTTCATGACCAAGAATTCCAGCGTTAATAAGAAAAGACTGCATTTTGTTTAGTCGTATCGTTGAGATATTTATCAATATTAACCTATTTTGGTTTATAGCTTTTATTTTGTTAATTATGACTAGGCTCCTTTCTTGATTTTTACATATTTAAGTTTAAAGATTCGTCTTTTGTTCTTTGTGAATGAACCTTTTTCTCATGTTTAAAAGAAGGTGCATCATGCTTTCCCAGACACGTTAAAACCAGAAAAAGCCAGTCTATCTACATGTAGTTGCTTTATTACATCATAATTGGCAATAAAGGTCTTGATGATCCCCACTGCATCAGGTATGTATGCTCAATACCAGCCTGGCAGCAGCGGAAAGCATGACGCATGATGTCATTCGGGATTTACTTGGCATCAAGTTGGATATGACAAACTACGCAGTGAGTTTTAGTTAATATCTTGTTTTTAAGAGTTTTAAAAGGTGCACTTCTCATTTTTCTTGTTGGTTGTTCTAGGACATGATAGACCAGCACCAAGTTAAAAAATTAGTGGAAGAGGCTTATCAATATAGAGAAGAGATCTTTGCTAAGGTAACAATTAGGAAACTTGGAACTATAAATTGGTTATAATTTTTCCTTTTTGAAATGCAATATCTATTTCCTTCTTTCTAGGAGCAGGAAATTCTCAAGTTAAAGGAACAGATTAATGGCCTTATTGAGGAAAGAGAGAGGTTAGATCCCTTCTACTGAAATCTAAGTTTCCATTTTCATGGACTTATTTGTCTCCATGTTTTTTGATTTATTACCAAAATTTTGGGCCTAAAACACTTGGTTTGCTACTGAAGTAACATTTAACACACGGAATGCAAAGTCTTCATTCAAATTCAAACTATCAGACTCTTCTTTTAAGTTCAGAACACTTCCATTAAGGCGCTGTTGGTTTCTGGAGATGTGATAGAAATGATCAATATTCACCAATGGGCGTCATTCTCTTCAAGAATTTCCAATGATTATGCTAACTCATATGCCTTCTCTTATGCTGACTTGGTTACTTTTGATGGACTCTATCTATGGCAGTTGTGTTTCAGAAAGGGACAAGAAAGAGTTAGACATACTTGCTGCTCAAATTTCTTTGGAGCAACTTAAAGAGAGGGATCAGTTGCTTTGTGCACAGAATGAAATGTTAAAGGTAATTTCTGATATGGTTTAAACTAAAAATCATGTGCTCTAAATATCTAGTGCTCACGGTTACTATATAAATAACAAAATGAAACATTCTGTTTTATTTTTATTGCTAGAAAAACAGAACTCTGGTCAAATGTCAAAAAAAATAAAAGCGTTTTATTAAGTAAAAACAGAATTTATTTTTGAGTTTGATAAAGTGAAATAAATAATTTAAATTATTAAAATAATTTTAGAAATACTTAATGTTATTTACATAATTGTAATAGTTACTTTTTCAATTTTTATTTAATATTTATCATTTTAATATGTGTTATTAATTTTACAATATATTTAATTAGATATAATATCACATTTTACATTTAATATATCTCTCTACAGTAATTTACCAAATACTATATTATTTTTATTTTAAAACTACTTGTGCTCAAAATTACTAGTAATACTTTAATATCTTACAGTATAAGTATTGGTAAAAAAGACAAACTGTTAATGTTTAATATTATATAAGAACCAAAAGTTAAAAAGCTTAATACATTTATATGTGGTTTTATGTTAAATATAAATAGTAAATTCGAATTATTTCTTATTTCAAACTTTCTACACGATTAAGTACATAACTTATAAATTAACTCATATTTTTCTGTCAAATAAGTTTTATCTAACTGAAGTATGCGGCTATATTGTATTATTTGAATCAATAGATGGACAAGGCTAATTTGAAGAGGAGGATTATAGAACTAGATCAGATGGTAAAAACACTTCTTGAGACGCAAACTACGCAACAGCAACTTCAACAGAATTTGAAGGTAAAGGTACGTATCAAACATCAGCAAATTTTTTCTACAATTATTGCTTTTACTTTTAATGTTTGGAAAAACTGAAATTTTATCTAAAGACCATAAGAGAACCTAAGACAAGAAGAGAACTTAAAACAAAGAAGAAATGAAATAAATAACAAAACAAGTAGATTTCAATCTCAAAATCAAATTCATAATTCTCATTTTTATTGAATAGCATTAGTCACAGCTGTCTGCTCTCGAACTAAGCTAGGGTAAACTCTCTGTATAGACACCAAACACAATCAAATTTTCTCAAGTCAAACTATGAAAATAACTAGAGTAATTAAAAGGAAAAACAAATTACTCAAAAAAACATAACGAAAAATACTAAAGAGAGAAATCATAATGGAACATGGATTGGGGTGAAGTCTTGCTAGATATTAGAAACGAATTTCTTATAGATTTTATTTTTTTTTCAATTGATTCTCCATCATGTTAATTTCAATCAACAGAATGACGGTGTATCAAAATCCGGTGATAGTGACTTAAACAAGAGGCTGGCACACTCTGAGTGGCTTCTTTCTCAAGTAAATGACGAACTGGCTGCTCACTGTCGCAGATCGAGCAATACCCATGTTAGAAAAGGCCTTATGGGTAAAGTCATGAAACAAGAGATAGGCAAGTAAAATTTGTAAAGTACGTTTATTGAAATTGTTGCATTTTTGCCTAAATAGTCATATTAATTATTCTTCTTAAAAATAGCTGAACATATATTTTATTAAATGTCACAAACCTATATATACAAATTTTCTGAAGTAAAAAGGAAGAAATAAATAACAAATAATTACATATAGTATATTTTACTTTAATGTTCTTTAGCCTGATTTACATACAACTAACTCTCTTTAATAATACTAAATTCTAAAACCAGTTTTTTTTGGTGGTTCAACTGGCTGACAGGAGGCAGAAAGTCTTAATTCGATGAGCTTTTAAATACCCCCAAGTACCCGAGTGACAGCTTAGTTTTTGGTTACACGAAGATGGAAATTCGTCTCTGGACTCACAGGTAGGCTTTCGAAATCGACGACCATCCTGCATTTCTTTTTTTTTTTTCTTCTTTTCCCCCTTTGAGTAGAGAAGCAGCTTGACAGCGCTTCGCCTTAAGCTTCTGATTGCCATAAACATAAAATTTTGAAAAGAAGAGACAGCTATTTTTACAGCCATAACTGGATTATAAGAAAGTATTCTATGCTGGCTGATGCAATGACTACTCGAATTTTCCTAAATTATTTATTAGTATATACAAAATTAGCATACCCCCCTTATACAAAATACCTTCTTTTTCGGATTTAGCACACAGTGGGGCAGAGACACTTTCTTCTACGCTATCCACGACAAACGTCCATTTGGTCTTCATGGAGGGGAGGGTATTGTTCCATCATGATTTTATTCTTAAGGTACCCACTAATTTTACACGCACATTCTTTTTTTAAGAAAACAAAAGTTACTCGTAACTTTTTTTGTAAAATTATAGCCCGAAGAGCGTCCCGGATTCTGTGTAAAATGGTTCTCCATTTTTCTTAAGCTCGTAAATAATTGCTTTTTTTTTTTTTTTAAAGTCTTAATCTTTTCTCACACACTTGAGAAGGTCACATGCGTTGCCAAAGCACTCTAACCATTTGGTGATCTTTTGGATATTGAGTAATAATGATTTCTTGTATTAAAAGTCTGTTTCTATCATTCAAACTCCGCGCACGCATCAGTTGACAACAGTTAGTAGGAAACAAATCATACCTTTTTGAAGTCAAAATTCGATCGTCTCAAATTATGTACGAGTAAATTATTTAATCTTCGTTAAATTGATTATATTTGAAAAGAAATTCCACTGTAATGTTCAAAGATATTAACATTCCGTCGTGTGTTTATACACTAATTTATAAAGGTTAATTATTAGTGAGACTCACAATTTATTGGAGCTCCAATATATTAAAAAGCTTTAGTAATTTTTAAATACGCCATTGCATTAAAGTTTAGTTTAAATTTTTATATTTTATATATCATTAACATCGTATTTAATAGAAAAAATGTTCATGCGATAGTAAGTTAACAAAATATTGTTAGATATGACTACCACACGGGAGTTTCCCTTATAATCATTTTATTTTTTTTAATTTTTTTATATGAAAATAGTTATAAATTAAATATAAATATATAAAAAATATAAAATTAAAAGAAATTTCTAACAAACAATATTACTTCAATGATTTTTAGTTTTTATTGAAATATTATCTGAAAATATAATATTACAAAATAATATACTAACAATGATAAAATTAATCATATGATTATTATAAAAAATATATTTAAAATTTAAAATTTATATTAATACATCTTATATTTTTTTGTGTATTTATCTATTATTAGACTCATCTTTAATAATAAAAATTTATTTTAAAAGAAATTAAAAATATATATTATATTTGGAATAGTAAAATTGTATATTATCTTAAGAAAGAAGAAAGAAAAAGAAAAATATTAAGAATCCATAATCTTCCCTTTTTATGGATGATTGGTGAGGTGAAGTCTAGTCAACGGATTCGACGGTTCATGATTACGGACACACATAAAAATCAATGCGTGCGAGCACACGCGAACAAGTATAATTAGCTGGAGTTCTCGACGACTCGCACACCTTGCCACGTCGGATGCTATCGGACACGTAGACACACATTATTTTCTGTGCTGGTGTGGACAGAGACCATTTGGACATTGACTTTTCCCCTTCATTTTATTTCGTTATATTTTCATTTTCCTTCCCCCCCTCCCTCGATCGTCTTTTTTTATTTTTATTTTTCTCTGGTTTTTCTCGCAAACTCTCCATTTTTTTTGACAAGCGTATTCTTGTTCTATTAGGGTTTATGAATCTCGAATAAACTCTTCAATCTTTTGCGTATGCATACTGTATCTCTGTTTCTCAATATAGATTTTCATTTGAGATGGATTAGTTCTGATTTCTTGATTTGTTGTTTCTTCTGAGTATGTTTCTCTTTCTCTCTGTTTGTTTACAGATTATTCAGTTTGATTAGTGGTTCGCTCATGAAACATAGGGTTGATGTTTGGAGACTTGCTGGCTGATGGCTGACAGTAGAAGATACATTCCCAATCAACAATTGGGTCAGTTTTCTCACCCCCCTCCTGTTAATGCCTTCTTTTAATTGCTCGCTCGTTCGCTTTCTGCTTTCTAGGATCCTAACCGGGTTTTCCGAATGTATTTTTCTGGTTCTATTGCATGCTTGAGAATTATATGGTTTTGTTTTCTTCGTTTCGGAAATCAAAGTTTATTCGGGTTTTTTTTTTATAGTTTGTTTGTGTCTTTTCTTTCTTTTTTCGTAGTAACTTCGTCCATAAGTAGTATTACAGCTCCGTTTCCAAATGCGCTTTCCATGTGGCTGTCTCAAGAATAAATATGCTACTCGAAATGAAGTTGGTTGGAGGATTGAAAACTTTGAGTGTCTCGCGAATAACTGGATGTTATGTATAGGAAACGGACAAATAATATTCCATGGGCCTTGACGATCATCCTACAGTTTTACTTTTCTTGAGTCCTGTTGACGTATGAACTAAATAATCGTAAATTGAGTTTTTATCCTATATAAACTCAGCTCAGTTATCTGATTGAGAACCTATGCCCCCTCCTATAACATGTATACCAGTATTAAGCCTCATTTCGAAGCCTAATCTCCTTGTCGTATTCTGCTCTGTAGCTGTTCTCCATATACGGTCTTGCCCTCAGCTGTTATAGTTCTTTCCATGGCGTGTATTCTGTTTAATTTCAACGTTTTTAAAATTTTGTTTGCATTCGAGGAGACATGTTAGAGTCTAATATAAATAATAAGTTAAGACTCTTTCCATTGAGCTTAAGTTGTAAAGAAATTAGTTAACCAACTAAACTATTTCGCATGATATTAAGATTATGAACTTTCATCATAAGTACATCGATTCCTTATCTTATCTGGAATATGTAAGTTTGATCTTTAACCATTTTCCATTGTCATGTGAAATGAATGTGCATAGAATACTTAGCTTTGCATTGTGTAATCACAAGGATCCTTTTTCTTTATTTCCTAAATTTGTTTTTTACCCTTAAAAATATGTTAATTTCTTGGAACCTTGCAGACCTTCAACAGATACTGCAAGACGCACAGAGCCGTTGGCTTCGACCGGCTGAAATTTGTGAAATACTTCGTAACTATCGGAGGTTTGACTTAACGCCAGATCCACCTGTTAAGCCTTCAGGTTGAAACCAACATCTTTTTTTTTTAATATTTTTTTTTTAAGTTGACGCATCACAGGGTATCTTCTGATATGTGTACATAGGTTATATTTTCTAAGAAGTATGTGTCTGATTGTTTTCAACTCTACATAATTGCTGTAGTTTTCCTAAATTTTTTCAGTTTGGCTTAAAATAGGAGGAGGAAGCAAGAAACGAAATGTAAACATAGGGAATATAAATAATATAGAAGATAAGTTACTGTGATCTGTCTGTGATCCATACAAATGATGGAATCTTGACAGATAACCAGTAACTTTGCTTTGTAGCTATTCCATTAGTAGAAATTAACAATTCTTATTATGAGCTTTGTTCCAAATTGTGGTTCTTTTCTCCATCTATGTCTCCCTCCTAGCAAATCAGTTAACAAGTAAATTTTGTTTTTCTCAGCTGGTTCATTGTTCTTGTTTGATCGAAAAGCACTTCGCTATTTTCGTAAAGATGGCCATCGGTGGAGGAAGAAAAAGGATGGGAAGACCGTCAGAGAAGCTCATGAAAAGTTGAAGGTGTGCTGTTCAATTTATTATTAGTAAGTTCACTTTTTCATTAGATTGGTACCATGCAATGTAGTCAACATGCGAGCTAGGAATTGCCTTGGATGGCTGAACCGTTTATTCCCAAGTTATTATAGTATGTGTCATAAAATTATGCATGGAAGGTCAAGTTCATTCATGTCTTTTTTACTCTTGTTAACTCCATATGTTGAGGCCTTGGCTCTTTTGAAAAGTTTTTTATTGCACTATCTTCTGTTTTATCTTTTGACTTGGTAGGTGGGTAATTAGTCATTGGCTGAAAGATCATTTTTCCTACTTTACACGTATGTTAATTCTTTTTCTTTCTCAATTGAAACATATTAGTTTGGCTTCATGTCTTTTTAGGTGTAACCATTATATTGAAAGAACAGCTTTTACTAGTGCATTTCCTTTCTATATCCTTTTACTGGTTTTGTCTGGGAGCTACACTAATTGCTGCCACTACTGGAATCCACATGTTACAAAGTATATCGCCTGTTGTTTACTTTTATATATTTGAATACCCTATTATTGTTATCTTTTCATATCTCTGGTTTTTAAGTGCGATAGTTTGAGATCTGGATAGTTTTTATGTTTTTTTTTTTCGAAATACTGGATATTTTTTATGTTATGTGCTCAGTTTTACTGTTT